TTTTTTTCTGTTTTTGAATGCTGTGCTGGTTTGTTCATTGTCACATGTACAGTTAACAAAAGCACATAGTCTCATTTGAGGGGGAGTAAATGAGTGCCGTTGATCACAGAATTTGATACCAATAAGGGACGTAAAATTCACGTTTTATAAGTGGATTTCTGCTACGTAGTAGCAGTTGTCTCCTCAATTTTCCCATTTCCTTTTTAATTTCCCTCCGGCTGGAGCAGAAGCAGAGACTCATCTCAACCAAACAGATGCTCTCTGATACATTTCACACATGTGATAACAGGCACAGGGAAAGTTTTGCTGTTCTCAATGTGTGGGTGGGATAACTGTACAAAAGGCTAATTAAAATGTTTTTTCCCCACAAGTGTATCACGCTGGACAATAGGTTCATTTTGAGAATTCGTTGTGGAATTAACGTGCCTTGTACAGCAGTGTAAGGCTCCGGGTGGGAAATAGGATTAGTGGGAAAAATTGCATCAGGACTGCTTGTCCTGTTGAGATAAAACGGTGGAATTGATTGGGAATTAACTCCCAGAAATTGTGCGCAGCAGGGGTTAGCCTGCTGTAGGAGCTTCACAATTTGATCAGTTTCCAGCGCGCAACAGTACTTGGATGGCGTAATTGCAGGATCTGGGGCACCGCCTGCTCTGCGCAGTGAGGTGCCAGGCACTTGCAGTCAGGGTAGTGCAGTTGGCTCAGATGTTATGAAGAATTTGCTGAAAGTGTGTAATCTTTCGGTGAAAACTCAGACTTCCAGTGTTTGTACTGCTTCTGCTAAAGGGAATAAAAATCATGGTTGTCACAGGGCAGTGCAGGTTGTGTCTGACAGTGATAGCTCAAGTGACGACTGGAGTGAGAGAAAACATCCCTATACTGCCTCTTTAAAACGCAGGAGCAGACGCAGGGAAAATATACATGCATGTCTGGAGAAGCCTGCAACTCAGATGCCGCTACCCCAAACTGACACACCACAGGGCAGCGTTTCGTTGACATATACGCCGTTTTCTCTCCAAGATACGTCACTAATTAAAAGCCAGCTTCCGCCATTAGAGCAGGGCCCCATGGATCAAGGCATTTTGCAGTATGCAGTGCCCTCTGACGTGGTACACAACGCACACACACCTGTACCTGGACAGCCACACCCCTATTCATGGAAGTCACAACCCATGAGTAGTGGCTTTCAGAGCCGTGGCAGATCACGAGCACGTGGTCGAGGATCCAGGGGTTACAGGAGAAATTTTGTGAGAGATGACAGATGTCTTATTTGTCACAAAAGAGGACACTGGGCGCATCACTGCCCAGTGCTTTATCAGCAGGCGCAAGGACAAGCAGGATCATATCCTGCTCAGGCGACAAATGTACTACCATATACACCTCCAGCTCAACATCAAGCACCTGGATTCAACCAGATGCCCCAGCAATAGGGCTGCCGAAGGTCTATAACAGGTGACTCCCTGAGCCAAAAGAGCATGTTTCTTGAGCCCCTAGTCCATGTGACTATCAATGGTCGAGATCATTTATGTCTAATTGACTCAGGAGCAAGGTACTCCACTTTAAACTCGCCACGCCCACTTTCAAGGCGTACTACATCTGTTATTGGCTTCTCGGGCATGAAGGAGGAGTGGCCATTCTCTGAAGAAGTTCCTTGTACATGGAATAATCTGTCATTTTATCATTCATTTCTACTTTCTCCATCTTGTCCCGTTAATCTTCTTGCACGTGATATTTTGTGTACTCTGAATGTTACCATGATGATGTCATCATGCCATGTGGACATCACTTTTCCTGACGGTTCTGTTCAACGTTGTGCAACTCCAAAAGCCACATTCAGACAGATGTTGCAGACTGCACCCCCTGGTGTTGACTTGCTTTTTGATTCCTCAGCTGACGTTTGGTGGGGACTTGTGGACTCTCCTGAAAACACCTCTCTTGTACACACATTCAATTTATGGCTTCCATGGATTTCAATACTTCACAAGTACACTGAATCAGTTGATCAGCTACATTGCACTTTTAATTATTCTCTGTGTGGTGATGAAAATGATGATTTTGAAGCTCTCTGGGACGGCTTTATCCAGAGGATGGACGCGTCTGAGAGGAAGATTGCAGTTGATGTGCAAAAACTGTTTGTGGGGCCGGACGGAGTGGCCGCTTGGGTTGCGCTCCCGGCTGACCTTGAAAGTTTGTATATGCTGTCTGAAAACTCTGCTCCTCATATCACTTTGTTAGTGAAACATGGAGCTGATGCAAAAAATCTTGGCCCCATGGTGCAGAGCTGTGTCAATGCTACTGACTGGACCGGCACACAGAATGGACAGTTGCAGTTCTCTCCTT